CTTTCCCTCCCTCTCCCTTGGCAGGAGTGAAGGACTGTGGAATATTGGTGGTGCTTACCAACCAAAAGCAGCATACAGACATTAGTGTGGGAGGTGAGATATTTTCCTGGTTGGAAGTTATTTCAATTCTTGCGGAAGAGCCAGTTCTATTCCATAAGAAACCCGCTGAATGGATCTACAATGCCCTTTTTGTGCCAGGAGAAAGACTTTTCTCTCAGCACAAATATAATGCCTCTCCATAGTCAAGGAGGCTACAACCTTCAAAAGCTCATGTCTCTCTGAACAAGTTAGTCTATAAGATGCCATCTTGCCCTGACTTCCGCCTTACTCTACAAGGTTATTTTATCCTACCTGTGAATATCCTCTCTTCAAACAAGCACTGCATCGCATATGTCAGGGGCATCAAAAATACAGTCTGAGGAGCCCTATCACTTGACCCGCAATGCTGTATGTGGGTCTTGGATTGGCCCCAAAAGCTGCATCCCGCACAGCCTGGCCCCATCCTGGCCCTGCTCCCTGCAAGAGCATGCAGAGCTAGTTTACCATGTGCTATACACGATACACAGGGCTGGACCCAGCACAGGCACTGCACATGGTGCTCGGGGCTGGTCTGGGGCATGCAATGCATGCAGGTCCTGTGTGCTGCATGGTCTGGGGCTGGCATGTCCTACATGTGGCACCCACGCCAGCCCAGCCCTGATCACTGGCTCCAGTGCACGGGGCTAATCTGTGGGTCTGATTTGGCCTGAGGACCAGCCCTGCACACCTCCTTAGGCTAGATGAGTTCAATACTCCTGTTGTAAGTTCAGGGCTGAAGTCCTATCTTGTAGCCACAAGCTAATTAGCTTTTGAAAAAAAATGGTATTTTTTCTATCAGTTTAATATATGTTGCCTTTCAAATCAGCCCAAACACAAAGTCATACCCCACAACTGAATGGGACAAAACTTGTTGGTGCTACTTAGCAATACAATGCTTAAATAAGTACTTCAAACAATTTCAAAACAGAGAGTTTCTGGCCTTCCTGAAACAGTTCAGAGGAAAGGGAGAAAAGCCTCTAACAGATGTCTCACATTTTCAGATATTTGCTGTGCCTGTACTGTTCCTGATTTCCTAAGCATCCTAAACTCTGAAGCAAAGAAAGTGCTGCCTCCACTGTGTGCATCTTTAGCAAAACCTGAAGAAAGAGGGAAATTAATGGGTGAGGGTACCTGCCCCAAGTCAAAGAACAAGAAATCCAACAGTATTTGAAAGAGTGGAAAGGATACCCAAACTACCTTGCACAAAAAGCTTATTATATTGCCACTGTGTTAAAATCACTATTTTAACATGTACTAGAGACATAAACACTGGCAAATATTTGTAACGGTTGTGTTTCTGAGCAGTGTCCAAGTAAAGATTTTATGAGCACAGAATAAACAGCAGAAAGACCCTACAGCAGGACAATGAGATTTCTCTCTATTATGTACAGAAGCCACTGACAGTGGGGATGGAAAGACCCTCACCACTAAAAT